ACCCCGCGACCCACCTGGCGACCCACCCCGCGACCCTCCTGGCAACCCACGTCGCGACCCACCCGCGACCCACCCCACGACCCACCCCGCGACCCACCTGGCGACCCACCCCGCGACCCACCCTTCGACCCACCCGCGACCCACCCCGCGACCCACCCGTGACCCAACCCACCCGCGACCCGCCCGGCGACCCACCTGCGACCTACCCCGCGACCCACCCGCGACCCACCCCGCGACCCATCCGCGACCCACCTGCGAACCACTTGCGACCCACCCGCGACCCACCCTGCGACCCGCCCGCCACCCACCCGCGACCGATCCACATTGGTTCGAAGAAGATCGGCGACTGCGGCGGGCTCGTTGTATAATTTGTGAAACTTTAGCGCCTGCGGCGGGATTCTCCAGAGTCTCGCAGGCTGCCGACGCCCCCAACGCCCCCTCACTCTTATCCGCATCTGCAGGGTGCTTCGTGTACATAGCATCCCGCAAATGCGGGTACGAGTGAGGGTGCGGCAGGGTCGTCGGCAGCCTGCGAGGCTCTGCAGGAGCCCGCCACATGTGCATATTCTTGTCACGATACAGAATGAGCGCACCGCAAGCGTCGGTTCTGCAGTCGAAAAGAACGTGGATGGGTCACGGGTGGGTCGCGGTGCTTGGTTCGCGGATGGGTCGAAGGGCGGGTCGCGGGGTGGGGTCGCGGACGGGTCGTGAGGCCTCTGGATCGCGGGGTGGGTCGCGTGGTGGGTCGAGGGGGGGGGGGGGGTCGCGGGGGGACGGCGACAACAACCACACCATCGAACACAACAGCAACAGCGAAGCAACAACACCAACCATCATTTCAAAACTGTTCGACGCGTGGCATTCAACATGAAAACCCACACCTCGACACCCGCCCTCTTCGTCTTCGATCGTGCCCCTGTGGGGACATGTCTTCCTTATCTGCCAGTGTTTTGGGTGCAGCCCCTTAGCCAATGCAAGGGAGGAGGGAAGAGACAAAGGGGGAGGGAGAAGGATGGAGCATTAGAACGATTTGAACGAGGGGGGTCCAGACTCCTCAGGGCCCTTCAGGATTCCTCAGGACTCCTCCCGAATCCCAAGGATTCCTCACGATCCCGCAGGAACCCTGGAGATCTCCAAGGGTTCTTCTGGATCCCCCAATGGCGTTCTCAGGATTCCGTTGGGCTCCTCAGGATGCTTCAGGATACCTTTGGATTCTTCAGGGGGCTCCTCAGGACCCCCCAGGATTCCTCAGGACTCCCCAGGAGCCAATCCCTCCAAATAAATCGGATGGATTCTTCCTCAGGATCCACAGCGGTTCTTCAGGATCCCCCAAGATTCCTCAGGATGCCGAAGGCCTCCTCAGGTTTCCCAAGGATTCCTCGGAATCCCCTCTGGGTGCCCCTCAAGATTCCTCAGGACCCCTTCGCATTCTTCAGGATTCCGCAGGATTCATCAGGATCCCCAAGGCTTCCTCTGGACTCATCCGGACTCCTCAGGATTCGTCGGGATCCTTTTAGGATCCCTCAGGATTCCTCCGAGGTCCTCCCGAAGGCCCAGGGTCCCTCAAGATCCAACAGGAACCCTGGGGCCCCCAACAGATTCGTCGGGATCGCCCTCGGGTTTCTCAGGATTCCGCTGGGCTCGTCAGGAATCCCCAGGACATACCAGGATTCCTCAGGATCCCCAAGGCTTCGTCTGGGCTCAGCAGGATTCCTTTGGATTCGTCAGGATTCCTCAGGACACCTCAGGACTCCTCAGGATCCCCGAGGACTCCTCAGGATTCCCCAGGACCCCCCCTTCCAAAACAGTCCGATGTATTCCTCATCTGGATCCACGATGGTCCCTTCGAACCCCCCAAGGTTCCTGAGGACCTGAGGATGCCTGAAGACCCCGAAGGAGCCCTAAGGATTCCTCAGGATCCCCTCAGGGTACCCATCAGGATTCCTCAGGACTCCTTCGCATTCTTCAGGATCACCCAGGGTCCCCAAGAGCCCATACAGATTTCTCAGGGTCCCCTAGGCCTCCTCTGGTTTCTCATCAGGACTCCTCAGGATTCGCTAGGATTCCTCTCCTCAGGACCCCCAGGGACTCCTCAGGGTTTACCAGAACCCCCCCTCCCAAAGAGTCCTACGGCTACCTCCTCAGGATCCACACTGATGCCTCAGGATCATCCTCCAAGTTTCTCCTGGATGTCTGAAGGCTCCTTACGACCCCACAGGATTCCTCATGATCCCTTCAGGGCACCCCTCAAGCCTTCAGGGTTTCTCATGACCCCTGAGCATTCTTCAGAATTGCACAGGAGTCCTCAGGACACAAAGATTCCTCAAGATCCCTTAGGCTTCCTCTGGACTCATCAAGACCCCTCAGGATTCGTCAGCATTCGTTAGGATACATCCGGATTCCTCCCGAGAGCCCAGGATTCCTCAGGACCTCACAGGAAGCATTATTCAGGATCTCGCCAGGGTTGCTCAGGATCTCGCGGGCCTGCTCAGGGTTCCTGGGGATTTTTTCTCAATTCTTCAAGGCCCCCAAGATCCATAAGGACACCTCAAGACTCCTCAGGGCTTCCGGGGACTCCTCAAAATCCCCGTCGTCGTCGTCGTCGCCGCCGTCGTCGTCGTGAGGGCCCTGAGGGTGTCTTAGCTGCACACGGGGCCAGAGAAGGGGGTAGCGCACGGGGAGCGTTTTCTGTGGAGGGAACAGCACAACATGACGGGGCATACGGGGCGGGTGTGTACGTTTGCCCACCGCAGCGCGAAACCGCCGCAGATGGCCTCTCGCAGGGCCAGAGAAGTCGTCGTCACACAGCGTCTCAGGGCAACAGACCCACAGGGCCGGAATGTGCGCCCGTCCACCGGCGGAGTGACACCGGAGGCTCCGGACCTGACCGGGGCCGGAGTGCACGTTTCTTTCCGTTGTTGTTGTTGTTGTTGTTGTTGTTGTTGTTGTTGTTGTTGTTGTTGTTTTTGTTGTTGGTGGTGTTGTTAGTGTTGTTGTTGTTGTTGTTGCTGTTGTTGTTGGTGTTGTTGTTGTTGTTGTTTTTATTGTTGCGCTGCTGTCGTTGCCGTTGTCCTCGCCCGCGATCCACCTCGCGACCCACACCGCGACCCAACCGGCGACGCACCCGCGACCAACCCTCATTACTTTGACATGAAAAATGGCGCCTGCGGCGGAGACTCTATCAGAATTACACGCCTGCGGCGGGCTTCTCCAGAACCTCGCAGACTGCCAACGTCCCCGCCGGCCCCTCGCTCTATCCTCAACTGCGGGGTGCTGCGCATGTTTCTGGCCATGTGTTCTACATATTCATATCAGGAAAACAATTCCCGGCCGCGGGACCGTCCCGGAACGGCTCGGGATGAAGCGCCCGGGCCCGTGACCGGGTCGAGACTCCTGGGAGTCCACGCTGTGGAATAATCGTGGCGTCGGGGGCCTTGGTCGTGCACCACAGTATTCGCTGGGGGGTATCTGTCGTCTGGAGTATTTGTCCGGCTGTCCTCTCGCGGCTAGAAATTAAACCCGCATATCAACATTCACTAGATGTATATCCTGCTCGATCCGTTTCTATGGCATGCATCTGAAAATATACTGGCCAGGGTGAACCCGATCCAGTCAGCTACTCGCAAAATAGGTTGTGCAGTCTATGTGGTGCAATCTGTCGTTCAATTTATGTAGTACAAACATGTGTTGTGAAACCCATGAAAAGCAATGTGAAACAACATCAACAAAACAATGCACATACATGCAACGGAATGCAGACCAATTCAAAGCAATGCAAAGCAACGCAGAACAATGCAAACGAATGCGGAGCAATGCAAAGCAATGCAATGCAGAGCAATGCAAATTAATCAAACACGGCGCCAAGCAACACAAAGCAATCCAAAGCAATGCAAACCAATGCCAAGCAATGCAAAGCAATGCAACGCAATGCGGAGCAATGCAAAGCAGAGCAAAGCAAATCAATGCGAAGCAATGGGAAGCAGGCGGCGACGAGGCAAAGGACAACGACGAGGATCGCCAGACAGGCACAGACGACGAGTGGCAACGAGCTGGCCAGGGGGCGGCGACGGCTGCTACATAGCTGCGGGACCGACCCGCAGGCCCCGTCCCACCTTCCACAAGTGAGAGCCCCCAGATGCAAACACCATCTGGGGAAGATCGAACATAAGCCAGTGACGACGCAAATGTCTGCGAGCAATCCGCCCGCATGCGCCAATCCTGGCCAGGCCCATCCTGGGCCCAGGGGCGGTGGATACGTCTTCCTGGCATGGCCACGAGGCGCGCACGCACCGACTCTGGGCCTGACCGGGGCCAGGTTCCACTGGCATCTGCAACTTGCTGTCTGTGCGGGCCTGCACGGGCCTCGCGGCCCCTTCCGCGGGGCCAGCTTCCCACCCTGAGCCCCGAACTGTCCTTGGAAGTGCCCGAAACACGAATCGCGCCGCGGAGAGAAGAACTCAGCGGCAATCTAGGCGATCGCAGCTGGCCCATGGCAGCACGACCGAGTAAGTGCAACCACGGCACGTGGAAGAGGGACGAGGAGGGGCAAGGAGGAAGAGGGGGGGAGGAGGAGGAGGAGGAGGAGGAGGAGGAGGAGGAGGAGGAGGAGGAGGAGCAGGAGGAGGAGGAGGAGGAGGAGAAGGAGGAGGCGGATAATTATGATGATGTTCTCCCCTCAACTGGCAGACGGCGGCGTTACTCGATACCCACAAGGGGTATTTGGGACCCTGCTCGCCGGACCTTTCCTGCACGCGCCGTTTGTGCAAATTGTTACCCGCTTTGCCTAAGTCGGCCGCGCACTGTTTCTTCCCAACAGAACGCTACAGTCACCGCGCTGAAGTCTGACCAACGTCAAAGGGCGGAGGAGAAACCCCAAACACCAGGACATCCCAAAGGCCTGAGACTGGCCTCCAGATGCCAAGAATCGTGAGCGAGCAGCTGGTCAAATTGTGATTGACACGAGCTACCAGCTGCATGGCGCGGCGCCCCCCCCCGAGGTCCGTGACGTAGAACGTGAAGACGATCGCCGACGTAAAATTGATGATGCACAGCATGAGCAACGCCCACCTCGACCACCCCCCATCACCCGCTCGCATAGTTCGTGTGGCCCGACTCTGGGAGCCACAAGTCCAAAAACGTTGTCCAAAGCATGTGATCTGCCGGCCCTCATGGCGCCGAAGAGATTCTCCCGAGACGGCGGGAGAAGGCTCCCAAGACGCTCAAGAGGCAGCGACGGATGCTCTGAGACGAATGGCCCCAAGAGAGCCGTAGGCAGGCCCAGACACCCCACAATTGTTCAAACACGCTAGGTGTTGTAAGGACTGTAACTTCGCACGCTTTCCAGCTCAAAATCATATCTGGGGTCCCAAGGGGGCCCCGAAAATATGCCAATGAGTCTCCAAGACGGCCCTCGAGGATTTCAAAGGAGCCCTGGCGAAGGCCACTTAAGGAATCCAGAAGGGCACAACATCTTATAAGAATCCCGAGGCCCACGCTACGTCCCAAGAAGGCCCAGAGCCGCCCCCAAGACGCTTCAAGAGTGCCAAGGTGCCCTCACAAATGTCAGCAGCGTTCCCTCGCCCTCCCACTCCCTCGTCACGGCATTCTCTCCATCGGGGAAGCGAGCCCTTGCATGGTGCGGCCCCGCGTGGATATGGGGAAGGGCTGCGTATTACAGAGAGCTGCGCTAGCACGGTGGCAAATCTTGTCGCAAACACCTGGATACGGGACCTTCAATAACGATCGAAACGTACGTTCCCAATCCGCCACCGTGCCGCCAGCCCCGAGCGGCTCCCAAAGAGGCCCCAAAACTGCACCCAAGAGGCCCCCTAGAGCGCCCAGACGAGACTACAACAAACAGCCCTGAGAACTCTGAACCGCAATCCAGGCACGGTAGCGGGAAGGGCCGAATGCCATTCGATGTTTGAGCTTAGCCTTCCAGCTGGGTCCCGGATGAGCTAGTTTAAGTAAACACGAGACCTTCCGAATATTGAACGTGTTACACTGCTGAGCCTTAACAGGTAGATGCACACGTCACGGCTCATCTCGCAGAAACGGCGCGCAGCCATGCCTACCACTTCAAATCTCGCGTTCCCTCCCCCGTCTCAAACGACAGACGCGAGGAGTGAGCATGATGCACGGGTCATATAGCGAGGCTTCGCAGGACGGTCTGCACGTCTGCCAGATCGGCCGTGGGCGCGCAGAACTTGGCAGTGTGTGTCTCCGTTTCGTATGGGATCCACTTGCCAGCCCACGTATCGTTTTCCCCCATGCGATGCGAGGGGTCTATTTCATGGTTTGCGTCAGTGGCTCGCGCGCCGAATCGCACAAGCAGCGCGCACTGTGCTGTGACTTCGATGGGGATACCTGGTCCTCTCCCAATTCCCAGACCCCCAATATTATCTGAAGCTTATGCAGATACCGTGGGCGCAATGCACCGCCAACAAAACATGAGTGGGACACTGAGCAGATTGACGAGAAGGGTGAGGATGGCTATGATGACGAGGCGAATGGGACCTATACTCAATGTTGACCCTTGTGGCTGCGCGTTCCCAACGACTTCCTACCACCTGACTGCATCGCCTGCTGTTCAACCAGCGCAATGACTCCCCCGGCGTTGGTTGCATGTTAGAAGGCATTGACCAGATTCATGACCCCACGCGCCATGAAAGCGTGCAGAAACTCATCGCAATGCAAGGCCAGCCAAAGAACCAATCAACACGAGACGCCTGACTCTGTGTTTACGACGACCCCCCTCAAACGTAAGGGACTTAACGGAATCAATGATCATGAGGGCCAGCTGGCTGAGCTCGCTGAAGAAGCGGAACACGCGGCACATCTTGGGCAGAAGAGGGGGGGGCGCAGGAAATTAGGGCGACGAGGCGGAACAGCATGGTAAGTATAAGGAAAATAATGTAAAAGGGCGAATGGCGACGACGATAAGGACGACCACGGCAACCACGGCAATCACGAATCCGACGAGAAGGGAGGGAGGGGGTGGAACCACTCAGTCTGATGAAATCGACCCCCGCAAGTCACTCGAGGAGGTTGCTTGCCCAAAACCTCTGCAGGCCTCGAAAAGTACACATCCGACAAATCGCGTCAGAAAACATCAGACACTCGATACCCGGAAGGGAGGAACGGGAGGAGGATGACGACGAGGACGGCGATAATGACAAGCAGGATGGTGAGTAGGCGAAGGCCAGGCGCGTAGGCGACAAATCTTCCAGAGTTGTCCTTCCCCTCCCCCTCGCCCTTCCCCATACTCGGTGTTCGAATTGCCATCTTCTTCCTCATCATGCACCCTCCACTCACTCCTCCACCTCCTCTTCGCTGCCATCGCTCAAATACTCCTCCGCCTCCACTCTCTCCTTCCTCCCTCCCCATTCGCTGCATCGTCCTCCTCCTCCTCCTCCCTCTCCTCATACTGCTGCTTTTTCGTATTCCTTCCTCCCGCACCCTCCACTTCCTCTGCTCCCATCCGTCTATCCTCCTCCTTCTCCTGCTCCATGCTGGTCCTCCAACCTCGCCCACCCCTCCTCCTCTCCCTTTCCCATTCTTATCCTCCTCCTCCTCCTCCTCTTCTCCTCCGTCGTTCTGCCTCATCCCTCCTCCATCGTCATGTCCTCTCCAGTGTGCCTCCTCCTGCTCCTCCTCCTGCTTACCACTCCTCCTCGTTTCCCCCAAAAGGTGCAAACGCGTCCAACATCCTCTCGGCCGTCGTTCTCCGAACCTCTCGATGGTCGATCCTCGAAGAACCTCTCGCTCGTCGATCCTGCGGCCTCGAGCCTCGAACCTCCCAACTCATCCGGCTCTGCTCCGACCCCCGCCGCCAGCAGCGCACCCGTACTATTCTGAGCATCTTGACCGTCTTCAAGCTGGCTGCGCGCGGTATCGGCGGGGGGGGGTGAAGTGGGGGGTGGGAGGACGGAGGACGAGTGGAGCGAACGAGCGGGTTAGCATGAAAGAACAGGCACTGTATGGGAACCGGCCCCGGGCCCGGGCCCCGGGCCCGGGCCGCTGGGCCCCGGGCCCGCTCCCCCCCCCCCCAGGCCCAATTCTTTGTCCTGAGCCGACGTCTGAGTCGGGGGCCCGTGGAGGGCCCCAGGAGCTCGAAAGCGGCAGAAGCTCGGCACCCGGTTCCCTCAGGACCCGCTTCCTGCACGGCTGACGGGGGACGCTGCGCAGGCGTCCGCGGAGCACATTCCGATCGCAGGCTCACTTCGAGTCTGGAGAGCGCCATGACGCTTCTCTACACGACACCATGACCTGATGTCGAGGAGGGGGTCTTGGGAGGGGACGCAAGGGAGCGCGCAGGAGGAGAAGGAGGAGGGAACCTCCTCCTCTTCCTCCTCCTCCTCCTTCCCCAATGCCCCCTGTTAGCTCCTCCTCTCCACCCCCTCTTTGTTGCTCCCTTCTTCTTTCTCAGTTGCCAGGCGGCCCGAGAGTGCCGCCAAGCGACGAGCGCGCATGGAGGCGCGCGGGCGGCATGCAGCATGGCTGAGCCGCGTCTGGTGATCCGCTTCGAGGCCCGGGGCGCCACGGCCGGCATCGTCTCGCTCATCCTGGCCGAGAAGGTGGTCGACGTGCTGCTCAGCGACGGCGCCGCCGCCGCTCCTGACCGAACGGCGGCTGCAAGTACAGGCAAGCTGCTGCAATCAAGAACGCTAGATGAGAAACGAGGCCCCTTTCTGGCACCGGAAAAGCCTGTCTGCACGAGGAGGGCTAGAGGAACAACTACGGAATGATCTCAGGAACAGCGAGCCCCTTCCAAACCCGAGGCGGTTCTTGTTCCAGCGTCTTGACTGTACGGGAAGCGTGCGAGGAGCTGACCAGGACGCCTTGGAAGAACCGCCACCGAGGCGCAGCGGCTGGCGCGCTCAGCACTCCTGGAGCCAGCGCCCAAGAGGCGGCCGCAAGGCCGCCCAGTGGTCCTCTGCAGGCGCGGGCCCAGAGCAAGGCTGCCACGCCGCTGAACGTGAGGGAGAAGAAGAAGCAGGCATGGGTGGCGAAGCTGCATAGCCAGAAGGGCGCGCCGAAGGCCGCACCGAAAGCGGCGGCGGAACCAGCCCTGGCACACCGCCGGCCTCCGCCTCCATCGAGACTGCGCCTGGCCCCAGCGGAATTGGTGGCGACTCCGTGGCGCGCATTGTCGAGGAGCTGGGCACCCCAGAGAAGGAGTCGACAGTGTCCCTGGCGGACGTGCCGCGTGCCCTGCACTTTATGGAGCAGTCGGTCGGCGCCCCAGGCCCGCAGGAAGAGAACGACAAGTCGCAGGCGATCACCCTCGTGCTAGCCGAGCCAGAGGTTGGCACCGGTGCCAATGCCCTGGAGGAAGTTGGTGAGTTCCAGCTGGCGGGGAGGAAACAGAAGAGTAATGAGAAGAATAAACACAAAAAGCAAACGACCTCTGCTGACGGTGCTGCCCACCTGGGCGCAGGTGCTGGCAGCTCCAAGCCAGGCTGGAGCCAGCTGGCCACGGGCCAGCAGGAGGCGCGGAAGGTTCAGCAGGCCGCCGAGCGGGTGCACGAAGGGCCCCATCAGGAAGAAGAGCCGCCCTCCCAGGAGGACCGCGTGCACGCGTGCACTGCTGGGCATCTGAGCCGATGGAGCCCGAGCAGGACTACCCCAGCGCCGGCGAGGGGCTGAAGGAGCCGGAGTCCGCCGGCGAAGGCCTGCTTGAGCTGCAGGAAGCGCACAAGGAAGTGGGCGCGCACAAGGAAGTGGGGCAGGGGGTGGCGCTCTGAGAGGCAAAATGGGGGCTTCTTTGAAGACATCCCGGGGTCTGGGAAGCCTTCGAGTCCTTCTGAGCAGGCCCCCTCTTCTTAGAATGCCGCCTTCCACTCGGCTCACCACTGTGTGCGTGCCAGCGAACAGACACATCGAGAACGGGAGAACGATAAACAACATTATTCCGAATTCGGCTGCGCGCCAGAGTCGCTCTAGGCAAAAGTGACCAATCACTCTGTCGCGCACGGCAGGTTCATGTTGTGACAACACAGGCGCTGGATTCTGGCACCGTGTGGATCGTCAAACGTAGATCGTGCAGGACGGTCATTCTACATCGACTGACTCTGGGCCACAAGTGGCGTTGAGACTGAGACGCCCGCTGGCGGGGTCGACAGGACGGGAGCAGACGCGCACCTGGGGAGGGAAGGTGGAACACACCATATGCGGGAAATTAAGGAGTCTCTGTCGTTAAGGGCTTACAGCAGGACGTAGGACATGATAACATCCTTCAAACACACGAGACCCTCCGCCGGCCGAGCTGAGGAGCAAGGGTGCCCTCCCCCAGGATGCACAAGAACAGCCAGCAAGCACGAAGAACATGAGAGTACCATTCGGGTACCGACCTCGATCTTATACTTCGGTCCGACCGTAACGACGTCTGCCGTCCCTCGACTCGCGCTGGAGCAGGCACGACTTGCTCTACATCTCCGTAGAGATCTGTGAATTCTACCTGGATGGCCCACTTTATCCGGCGTGATCCCCACGAGTCGATTGGAGGAAAGTCCCTTAGGAGCTTCGGGATCCACCTGCCGGATCGCGAGGTCGCGCGCGCGGGCGCGATCGCACACGGGCGCGCGGGACGGGGCGCTTGAGATAGACGAGGCGTTGTCTTGGCCCCCGCTGAACAGCAGCTGCAGCACCAAGAAGTCGAGGACGGACATGCCAACCTCCCGCAGCGAGGGGGGAGGAGGGCGGAGGAATGGCTGAGGGACGAGGGGGGATGGGAGAAGGAAGGAGGGCAAGCCAGGTGCGCTCACGTCAGATATGACGTCCTGCACCTCCCTCCCATCCCTTTCCATGTGTGGAAATAACACAGCGCTGCATGGGAGCACGGCTTTGACGGAAAAGGAACCGCCCGCGGAAACGAGGCCACCGCTTCAGTGGGGAACCCATTTAGAAGGAGCGAAAAACGGTCGGATGGACAAAACACCAGAAATACCACCGTTTGAAATTCTGTGTAAAAGCGCTGCGCGGGGAGGGCTGGGTATCACCCAGACGGAGTCAGGGGAGAGACGAGAGTAGTATCCAGAAGGTGCACTTGTAGAGATAAAAGAAATATCGGCGGCGGGCTGAGGCTGTGCCTTTGGCGAGGCGATGAGAACCTAGCCTCGTGCGGCATGCAACGACAACGAAGCCTGTGAAAGACATGCTAGCATCCCAGGAATGCGTTTGTTGCATTCGCGATGGCTATTCCCCCTGAGGTCCTCGGAAAATTTCGGGTGACCCTGAAGATCCTGGCATTGGGCCTCAAGGGGCTGAGGAAACTCGGCTGGTTGCTTCTGGCAAGGCAACCCTGAGACGCGCCGACGTATTATTGTTCTATTTCTTTCATCACTTACGCAACCTCTTTGGAAGGGGGGTCAGTGTTTCACACGCGTTTGATGCTGGGCCCCACCCGTCAGATCGTCCGTTCGTCTGCGACGCAATTCGCGGTAGCCAGGCTCAAGGGTCCTCGAGAATCCCTGACAATTCTGCCTCGACAGATCTGCATACCACGGCCGCCTGGCCAAAAGAGTCCTCGAGTGTCCCAGCGAATCCTGCCTCGCCGAGCCTCGACGTCACGCCGTCTACAGACACCTAGAATAGGCATCGAGAACATCAAGAACAGACAACATTACCTGTAAGATCATCCTGCGGGCTTGACGTTGACCAACTAGCACTCGCAAACAACAGAGCAAGCACGGGACAATCCCATTGCCCTGCAGGATACATGTCATCGAAGACTTGAAACAGCATGAACATTAGCTGTTGACGGTCCGCGCGCATTTCTTGGATCTGCGATGGGCTCCCCTGGAGACACCTGCGCCGCCGCTGGCGAGCTCCGCGCGACAGCGAGGGGTTCAGCGCAGATCCGAGAAGTCTGCGCGGAGAGTCAAAAGCTGAAGAATACGTAATGTTGCGTTCTCCGATTTCATTCAAGGCGACTGAAGCCCAAGGAGAGGCTACCATGACTACCTGCCAGATCACCCCAACCGAATCCGAAGACCCAAATATCGGGTTGGGGGGGTTCTGGCTCCGCATGTGATTTTTTCAATGTACCCCGACGCCCCCCCCCCTGGGAATGACGAACAGATTGGGGCCTTCGGGTCGGGCGCCGTCGTCGGTCGGGAACCCCGTCGCCCCCGCGGCCCCTATCCGGGCCAGGCCCGCGCCCGCCAAGAGGGCGTCGAACACGTTCCACTTCCACTCCTCGTTCGTGAAGAAGTCACGCCACCCTAGGGGGGGGGGGACGGATGGGCGCCGACACCGCTAAGACGGGGAGCGCCTACAGCGTGAGACAGCGGTGGGGCCCTTCACAAGAACATCCTGTCGATCCACCGGCGTCGAGGACCGTGCGGGCGTCCCTGCAGATCCCACAAGAGAGCCTTGTATGTCCACTTATGCGGACTGCCCGGGGCCACTCTCTGCCCCCATGCTATTCCACCCCGGGCGGGAGGGGGCAGAGAGGGAAAAGCGGGCAGGGATCTCCACGACACTGGCGGGCGTTTGTCTATTCTGACCTCCCAGAGCCCTTACAGGGCCCCAAGACAATCAAAAACCGACCCAGGATGAAAAAACGCTCCTGGGGACGGGGTCCAGACCTCCTGGGGTCGGCCGTGAGGGAGGAGCAAAAAAGGAGATTCGAAGTCCGGGGAGGAGGAAGGGGGAGGGAGGAGGAAGGGAGGGGAGAGTTCGGAAGAAGGGGGATAGATCTTTCAAGGAGAAGAGGGAGGGAGGAGTGATGGCGGAGGGAGGAGGAGGGAGGAGGAGGAGAGAGGAGGGGGAAGCGTCTGAGGCGGCGGAACAAGAGAATGGAAAACTCCACCCTCTCCGTTCCTCCCTTTCCGCGCCCCGCAGTCCTGACCCACCCTGTCCTGGTCCGCCGTCCTTGACATCCCGTTTTTGTCCGCAAAGGGTGTCCCCTGAACACGAGAACACCGAGCGTGGCCAGCACCAACTAGAGTTTGTTGGGGCGCGACGACAAAGCCTCACACGGCTCGGCCCCTACCACTGTGCGAGTCGAAAAATCGCCAAGCAATCCAGAAATTCCAAAAAAAGAATCGTCCTTCAGGAGGCGGACGGGGCACTACATCCAAAATCATGTATATGCGCATTCCCCATTCCCCAACCATTGCTTGCACTTAAGGGTTCTTACTTGTTGTCTATCTACGAAACTGGGCCTGCGGGTCGGTTTGGCCGCTATGTTCTTACCGTCGCCGCCCCGTCGTCGCCCGTCGTCTGGGCCTGCGGGTCGGTCTGGCAACTATGTTGTCACCGTCACCGCCCCGCTACCGCCTCATAACACCCGTCATCTGGGCATTGGGGTTGGGCTGGCGGCTATGGTATCGTCGTTGTCGCCCCGTCGCCGCCTCATACACGCCCGCTATCAGGACCTGCCGGTCGGTCTGGCGGCTGAGGTTCTCGCGGTCGCCGCTCTGTCGCCGCCTCGTCGCCGCCCGTCGTCTGGGCCTGCGGGTCGGTCTAACGGCTATGGTGTCGCCGTCGCCGCCCCGTCGCCGCCCGTCGTCTGGGCCCCGGGCCTGGCGGCTATGTTCTCGTCCGCGCCCAGTCGCCGCTCCACATAGGCTGCACAACATAGAGTGCTAGAAACACACTGTTTGAGGTCCTCACTGGCAGGCGCACACATATATATATGTATATATGTTGATGACCATCTATACATCTACAGATCTGGATTCATACACACACACACGTTCTACATACAAGTGTATACATGCATGTGTATACACGTATGCATGTATATAATGTATGTATATGATATATGTATGTGTGCAAGCTTCAAGACTTGATAAGACACCCGCGCACCACCATCGCACCAAAGCGGGTTGCATACGAACGCGTCGCACCCAACTGTTGGTGATACTGTCCAAGTCACCATCGCCAACGCCAACAACATCTCCAACCGCAATGGTACTATTATCGTCGTGGCCTCCATGTTCTTGATCTTCGTTGCCTCCTCACCATCGCTGCCAACACCATCATTGTCAACAGATCATCGCAACCATAGCAATTTCACCATCGCAATACTGTCACCAACATTGCCCTCAACATCGGCAGCTTCGCCACCACCACCATCATCACAAACATGGCCATCCTGAAGCTCACGCAAGCGCGTCTGCTCTTAAGTTAGCCCGCGTAAAATATAGAGAAACAAAAACGTCGGCGGCAAACTTATCAGCAAATTTGCATACATGGTGGCCGCACAAACCACACGTGCACTACAATAACAAGCATACTGACCATATCCAGATGAATCCCATACTCGAGGCATACACCAACACCAAGGTACCGTGCAATGTACCATGCTTCCGCCATGGACTACAACAAACAATGCGAATGTGCCACCCCGGAAAAGCTGGACGGGGCGATTTCCGTGCCCGCCAAACTATGCATAGAGCTCTCGGCAACTACTACATTGCGACACGCTGGCATATGTCAAACCTTGTTTGTGATCCAATGCGTCTGTGTCCTGAAAGGGTGCCCATCCATGAGTGACACCTTTGCGTGCTGCGCGCGCTGACGACAGTCCCAGTGCCCCGCAACGGGAAATTCAATGTTCAACAGACACTGCTTGGACTCAAGGGCCCTGGCTGTCTATGATACCTTGTGCGAAATTGGCGAGGAATGCCGGATTTTCGACTGGTGGGCACCCGTGGGCGACTCGTCGGCGCCTCGTGTTGCCTGGGACTTCAAGGCCTTCGCTTTGTGAGCGCCTCATGGGCACCTCGTGGTCGCTGGTAACTCCAGGTTTTCGCCTGGTGAGCGCCCGTGGTCGCCTTGCGCTGGCTGGGATGTGCTGGTTTTCGGCCGGTGGCCTCCTGGCAACAAGTATGGGGTTCTGGCCAGAAGTTCGGGCTGGTGGGCGCCCGTGCGCGCCCGTTCTGTCATTTTTTGGTTGCACCGCATGTCTTAGACCATACGGCCTACCGCGCGATCATTGCCCCGCACTTGTAAAACAGACGAGGAGACAGCCTTGTGGCACGGAGGGGGGGCCGCGGGGGCGGGAAGGGGGAGGAGGGGAGAAGGGGGCAAAGGTTGGGGGCGGCACGCGCGCGAGCGCGACGCCGCGAATTCACCAATTAATCGGGGCGCCCCAAGCCGCTCCACCAGGCGCACCAAATGAGCGGCGCGCCACGGGGCGTCGGCGCCCCCAGCGCGCGCCGCCGTGAGCAGCAGCAGCGCAGCTGCCCGCGGCGGGAGGACAAGGGCCCGCCGCGCTGCGGGGGCGGCGCGCGAAGCGCTCCCATCGCGGCGACCAGCAACTGCAGCGGAAGCAGGCGACCCAGCCAGGCCCCTGCGAGGCCGTGCGCGGCTGCCACGCATCGCTGGCGAACAGCGCCCGCGCCGCTGCTGCTCCTCCTGGCGGCGGCGCGGGGGCCGCGGCGCGACCCTGGCTCTGGGAGGCCACGGCGGCGGCTACGGCCGCGTCGTCCGCCACCCGGGGTCGTTGCCTCCCTGGCCGCCAGCGGGCGCGGGGGGCGCCGCCCAGTGCCGCTGCACCCGTGGGCCGCCGTGGCCGTCGCTGCCGCGGTTGGCTTTCAGGGCCGCCAGCTCCACCTCGGCCAACAGCTTGTGCAGCGCACGCGGCGCGTGCCAGCGGACCGCGCGCGCCTGCTTAAGGTCCAGCGCGGGCAAGCGGGCTTCAGCCGCCTCCCCTGCCAGGCGGTTCGCTTCGGCGTTCCAGTGCGTGTCCTCTTCGGAAAACCTGCGCTCGGCCCCCGCTGCCGCGTCGAGGTGGCCCTTGACCCACCGAGCGACGGCGAAGCCCGCCTGGCAGTAGGGTTCCGGAGGTCCCACAAGTCTGCGAGCGACCAATCACGCGGCGAGGCGCCGTAGGCAGGCTGCTCCGCACAGCTTGCACCACCTAGCGTGCACAACATAACCTGCATAAAGTACCTTGGGCCACATAGCCTGCTTAACGCAGCTTGTACCGCATTCCTGTTACCACGTAGATTGCCCCGGATTTGCATCACGTAGCGTCATAATGCGGAGTGCACGAAACGAATGCTTGGAGTCCCAACTACAAGACATCATACGTTCAGCAACTTGTGGCGAGCCATGATTTCAACCGTAACCGTCCAACAACCACTTGCTCTAGTTCTGACAGCAATGTCACGACATACCCTCCAACATATTCGATCGTTGTCGTTGTCTTCAACTGTGTCACCATGGCCAATAACGTCATGATCGCTGCTACCGTCATTATCTTCACCATGGCCTTCACGGCCACCATCACCATGGCCGTATTCGAAATTACCATCCCACCATGACCAGCATCATCATCATTATCATCATACTCATCATCATCATCATCATCATCATCATCATCAGCAGCATCAGCATCAGCATCATCATCATCACCATCATCATGATCATCAACATCATCATCACCATCATCAGAGCATGGCGCGAGTTTTCTCAGCGCCGCAATTCCTAACATCTCCATCGAACCAACAAGTGAAACCTTTGAAGAATAACCAGGGAATGATGGAATGGAGAAGGACTGATGAAATAAGGAACGCTGAATAGGAAACGAAACCCTCGTTGGCACCAAAAGTGCCACGGTGTACGAGGAGGGCTTTAGGAACAGCCACGGGACGACCTATGTAAAGAATAGCGGGCCCCTTCCGAAACCAACGCGGTCCTCACTTCAGCGTCTTGACCGCATGTGCGCGCAGAGATAACGCCCGCCACGGGGAACCTACTTTAGAACTTATGCTCGATGATCTCTCGTCGCGCGCGTCGCCCCGTTGGGGACGACGCACACATCGCATTAGAGTCAGCCCGTGTGTACCGAGGACGCACGACAAGGATGCGCAAGGGCCTTGGAAGGCCATGTCGACACTTTGCGAGCGGGCCGCGCGGCCAGCGAAAGAGGCCAAGGATGGGCCAAGAGATATCGCTCTCGATTGCCCCTGGAGAGAATAAACATCAGCCTCAAGCTGGGTTCGCTCAACAGAAGACGAAGCCAGGACGAGGATAAAATCGGGTGAGGGTAAATTGGGAATCTCGTACATCTAGCGGCTTTGGCGGATGTCTCGGGCGCCGCGGCCTTCTCAGAGCGTTCCGGAACACCTCTCTTAGTCCGAGCCCCGTCCGACCGTGAACCCCGGTTGGGAGACAGCGGGATGAGAGATAGGGAAAAAGAACGATGAAGGGGCTTGAAAAGGAACAACAGACGAGACCACGAATGGACCCCCCTGGCGCCGACCGTGATTTGCCATGCGCAGGCTCAGCTCGACAAGGAAGAAGGCGCTGCAGGCGTATCCGAACGCCTTCCGGGAGGGATGGGTGAAGGGAGCTGGAAAGCCGTAGGCCGGCCCACGGGCGGAAAAAGACCGGCCTGAAGCTGGTGATGGGTGGCGGGACAGTCGGTGACAGGCACACGGACAACGACGACCGCCCCCGACGTCTCAGATCGCGCTCACGGCGCCAACAATCAATGTGAACGCGTGATGTGTCAACCAGCTTCTAGGATCACATGTGACCGCGACGACATGTTTCATCAACCTCGGTACCCTAGGACCTCCAATACCCCTGAAGTCGTGATTTTATTATCCACTAACTGGCGTCGCGCGCAAGGGGGTAGGGAGAGGGGGGAAGACTTCTTAGAAGCACCCTGATTCTAAGAAGCCTCCCCCCTCCCTCTACCACTCAGTGCGCGTGGCCGAACTAAAGCGTGGCCCACAGGAAGTCTCTCGACCCCTTCCGGTTTACTGGCTTTCCAGCTGGTGAAGCTTCGGGCTGCACACAAGCAGCCCCCCCAAGTGTCCCAGCTGCCCTCAACAGGCTCCCCAAAGTACAGCCAATCTGTATCACAAGTATGCACGAAAAGGATGCAAGGGCCTTGCAATGGCACGTCGACGCTCTGCGAGCGGGGCGCGGCCAGCGAAAGCGGCCGAGGATGGGCCGAAGAGGAAGGATGCAAGGGTGACCTTGGAAAGTAGCTTATCCTCACTATGCGGGTTGACCGTAGCCCCAGCCTTAGTGGGCCCTGGAAACGACAAGGCCGTTTTTTTACCGGTTCCGTTTTGCCGTTTTTTCGCCGGTTCCGACGGCGTTGTTTTACCGGTTCCGTCGCCGTTTTTTGACCGATTCCGGCTCCGGCTCCAATCCTGGAGCCGTTTTTCTGCCATTTCTGGTCGCCGTTTTTTTGCCGTCTCCATTTTCAATGGACATTTTTTTGGAAACGGTGAAAAAACGGCCCTGCCGTTTCCGGGGCCCACAAAGGCCCCAGCTGGCCTCAACCGGCCCCCCGAGTAGCTCAGGGCAGTCTCAGCACCCCAGCGCCGCCTCCAGCGGCGCCTCTGGGGCAATCCGCGCCCCTGGGGGAGCTGTCGGCGTGTCGGACCTAGGACAGAAGAGCATCCATCAGTGAACAGCAGGCCCTCCGCGGCCAAGCTGAGGAACACTCGAGGGCACCCGCCCCCGAACCGACCTCGATCTTCTACCTCGGCCCGACCGTATCCAGATCACCCAACTTCGCGCACGGCGCCCCCTGATGCGCACTGAGCAACTGTCTTCGCGCCCTCGGGCCGCCCTCTCGGAGAAGGGCCACTATCTTCGCGCCCCCGGGGGTGGCCCAGGGTATCACGTGGCAGGGCGCAGTAACGAGTCGTGGACACCCAACGGCAAAACTCGCAATAGTGGAGGAAATACAAACCTGCGAAATGACACACCCCTGTACGAACGGACGGAAGGCGTCACCATCAATCAGAAGCGTCCGGTCGTACCGTTTTCATCCCGGGTCGCTTCTGACGTTCCTGGGACGCCCGAGGCGGCCAGATATGCTTTCCGCCGCGCTCCGGCACAAACAGACCACGGCGCGACCGCTGCAGAAGTAAGACGAAGTCAGGACGAGGGTAAATTCGGGGGAGGGTAAATCGAGAATATCTGAGATCTGGCGGCTCCGGGGGTGTCTCGGGCAATGCGGCCTTCTCAGAGCGTTCCAGAACTCTCTGAGAGCGTCACGGAACGTTCTGGAACGCCCTTCTCCTCGTCCCAGCCCCGCCCGAAGAAGGTCGCCGAGCGCACACATCCCATTCTTTCCCTCCGACATGCCGTCGGGCCAGCTCTGGGCCGTCTCGTCAGAGAGCGCGGCCAGCCTCGTGCAGCACGGCCGCGCGCGACGGGCGCAGCAAAACGACCCCGACGTAGCTCAGGCCCACAAGCGAGCAACGGGGAGGGCATGGGGCCGAGTGCTTCCAGAAGGCGAGGGGCGCAGGCTGCGACCCAGCACTGGATGGGGAGGGGATCTCAGGACCATGTGTGTGCCTGTAGCGTTGACGAAAAACATAAATATCGATCGACTGTCCATGCCGTCCCGCATCGACATCGACGCATTCGCATGCCGATGCAACACTTTGCCGATTAACCTCTGATTCAGCCACCCCCCTGTGCTCCAACTTGAGATGGAGTTGTTGCGTGGATGCTACCTGTTCAAGGCGCGTTCCCTTGGCGTGGCATTTCTGGCTCGAGGCGCATGCCAATTCGCTAAATATAAGCCATGCCCGCGCTCTCGCTGTCGCCCTCTGAAGCGAAACAACAACGCCAAAACACAATGATTCTCCAGGCTGGTGAGACAAACAACATGTCCGGCTAGCGGGACGCGTGGCTTCACTTACAACTAAGCCTTGCATCATGCGTGGAAGGTGGTTCGAAGTTGCAGGAGGGCGCAGATAGAGGTTATATAGAGGTTCAACTCCTTTGCAAGAGAGGCCGAAACACCGCTTTTACAAGCGCGAGCAAGCCCCGTGGCGGAAAGCAAAGGGTGGACGGGGGAGGGGAGGAGAGGGAGGGGGCGTTTGTGAAACATACGCGTCCCGAGCCCGAGGTTGTCTCTCTGAGTGTTCTCTTCTAGGCAGCTTACTTCGTCCCTGCCCAGAATGCGCCATGGTGCGCCCCTGCGCCATGCTGATTATTATTGTCCTGATCCTCCTCCTCCTCCTCCTCCGCGTCCTCATCCTCCTCTTGCTCCGAATCCTCCTGCTTCTCCGTTCATGCTCCTTCGTTCCTCCCTTTCTTGTTCATCCTCCTCCTCCTCCTCACTGTGCAGAGGTGTCCTGAGATCGACAGCGGTCTCCGGAGGTCACCAAAAGCCCAATTACGCCAAAACACGTTCAAACCCGCCTCTTGCGCTCTTGCGCTCTTGCGCTCCTCCGCGGTCGCCCCGTACACGCAACCCGGCCGCTCGCCAACAAACAAATCGATGCTAAAAACGCCCCAGTGGAGCCGGGGCCTCGACTGCCGCCCTGCGGTTTGAGTCTTCTCCCAGCTGTAGGGTTCCAAGGGCCTTGCTCTTCCAACCCATGTCGGGACGATTCAAACACGTCCTGGCGAGCTCCTTGACCTTAAGGCGCGCATGCGCTCCACAGCGCACACAGCAGGTCAGGCCACATTCGATCCCGCCTCCTGCTCGACATTGCACGGACCTGCAGCACGGGCTTGTGGCTAAACCCGCCGCCTCCTTCTTCTCCTCCTCCTCCTCCACCACCTTTTCCTCCTCCTCCGCCTCCATTCCTTGTCCTTGTAAATAACTTTCCCCTATCGCACCCCGAGGCCAATTTTTAGGGCGGGCCAGGTGTTTCGTCTGAGACCTCCTTACAACTCATGACTCTGAAACTTACAAAATTGCAACAGCTTTGCAGGTGCAGGGCGGGTCGCTTCCAAAATGTGGCTCTCGCCTTTGCGCCGTGCACATTCGTTGCAAGGATTTCACGGATTGGTGATAACCCGCTTTCAACATGTTGCTGTTGCCTGAGCGCCGCGCACATTCGTTCTAAATCATGTGCAAGGGCTTCAAGGATTGAGGATCACCCGTTTTCAAAATTTGGCTCTCGCATTAATGGCACGCACATTCCCTCGACAAATTCAAAGAATGTCGTGGATTGAGGGCGTTTCCTTGTCAAAATGTGGCTCTCGCTTGAGCGCCGCGCACATTCCTTCATAACATGTGCAAGAGTTGTACGGAATCCCACGATCAACGTACCTGAAACTGTGTTTTGGAAGGATTCAGGATTTTGCGGGTGCAACAGTTACGTTGATTGACGGGGTTGAAATCCCTTGATCCTGGATTGGCGTTCTGGCGCAATCCAGGATCGTCAAGACGCAACAATCAAGTTGATACGTGGCGATGGGATCCCGAGAACAATGTTTTGGCATGCTTCCGGGTCTTCAAACGGTTGCCTTCCAACAAGGCAGATCCCTCAATGGAAATGAACCGTTGTAGGGGCCTATGACGAGGGAGCTTGCAGGGAGGGTGTATTCCAACATCGTTGATGGCTCTTGGGTTTACACTGGTCCTCCTCCTCCTCCTCATCCTCCTCCTCCCTTCCATTCCTCCTCCGCATCGCCACACCCCTGGCGCCCAAACTGGCGCCCTTCGCAAGCCAGGGAAAAAGAGACGAAGTTCGGGAAGGAGCTAGCGCCGACCCTCGTAGTCCGTGAGGATATCCAAGTGTTTCTGTTCGTGTGATTGTCTGGTTGTCGTCTGCTTGTCTTTTTCCCCGCAACCCCGCCTGCATCTCGAACGTCTCCTCTTCGTGCGAGGTCAGCCACTGCACTTCAACTCCGATCAACGCCGAGTTGGCGAGGATCATTCCGGCGCACCTCCCCCATCTCCCGTCTGTGCACTCATGGTCGGAGGGCGGGGGGTGAGATCGCAATGGGACGGAGAGCCCCCCCCCCCGGAAATCGGTCTCGGTTTCGTGCTCGTGTCGCGCGTGCGAGCGAGGCTAAGCTGCGCAGGCGCGAGAGAGGAATGACCCCGCCGTCGCCAACGCGACTCGGTTGCAAAGGGCCGCTCCTCCGCCCTCGGTGGGCGCGCGGTGGCCCGGGGTGTCCCACCGTGTTGTCCTGCTGTGTCCCATTGGTGTCCCGTCGGTGTTCCGTCGGCGGTGGGCGGGCGGCGGGCGGTGGCCAAGGTGTCCCGCCTTGATGTCGGTAGCGAAGTCGATCGTGAGTCCGAGAATGAGCTCGATGGAACGGGTGGGTCGTGGGATCAAAAATGGGATCGACAGTGAGTTTAATTGTGAGTTCGACTGTGAGAGCGATCGGGGGATCGGTCGTGAGATCGCTAGTGAGATCGATAGTGAGACCGAAGGCGAGATCGATATTGATAACAGCAGTGACATTACACTGCTGCGCAACATCGTCATTACACGTCATACCCATCGCAATTGCCAGCAATTGGTTCTCTCCCCACCCCCCAACTTCCTCATCACCCGGAGGGTGGTCGTTCTGGTAGTCATCGTCATCCTCCTTCCCATGATCCGCATACTCCTCCCCCCTGCAACATTGCCGTCATCGTCGTTCCCCCAAATGGCGCGACTGCATGCGGGCGTCCGACCAGTCAGGCACACCTCTCGCACGCATCGTCCCAGAGCTTTGACTTCATCCGGAAGTACTAAAGAAAAATGTCATGCCTCTCCTATTTCTGCGTCGCGCCTGAGCACATACTCGGTGAGACTCTTTCCCTTCTTCATCATGTAAATAAACAGAGCAGCATTGTGGGCATGACGTTGTCTTTCGCATGGCCTTTCCGCGGCCAGTAGGGCAAGGTGGTCGAGAAGGCGCTGCACCCCTTCCTCATGATCCAAAGATGCTCGCACGGTCTTGGACTGGATCTGCATTTCCACTGGCAATCCTTCGAGAATCCTACTCGCACGGGTATCCTCACGAAGCCCTGTCCGTTTAGTCCAGGTCAGGATGTTGTGCCGGAAAGTGTCCAAGTTGTCGATTCCAAGTCACGGAGGTGGCGCTCCAAAATCTATGTTCGGTGCCTGGCCCCAGGATCCGTCCCTGACGTTCGACTTGCTAGCGCTCCCGTCCTGATAGTCCGAGTCCGACCAGGAGTGCCACCATCTCCAGGTCCACCAGGCTCGATCCCTAGGCATCCACTCCCAGGATGTCGTCGTCGTCGTCGCATCTGGTTCGGCTGCTGGTGTCGCCTCTCCCCTTTCCTCCTCCTCCTGCACGTTGGTGCCGCGTTGGCCCGGGCGCTCCGCGTCCAGGTCCCCCTCCTCGTCCGATCTCTCGGGCATCGCTCCGCTTACCACTATCACACCTATCAGGACCCGTGGCACATGAGGACCCAAAGATCAACAGACGAGGATGGGCTCTTTCTCGACGCATATATAAGCAAAGTCAACACCGTGCTCCCTCGCGCAAAAGCCGACATAACAACTACGGAGGAGAAACAAAGGGGGCGAGGAACACACACACAAACACACACACAAACACACAAACACACACAAACACACACACACACACACACGGAAAGCCCACTAAACCCTCAAGACAACGGCGACGAAGCGCAACGGTGTCCCTGGACACGGGTGACCTTTGGTGCGCAGCTTGCGGGGGCCGCGGGGGAACTGAATCCAATTGCGCAAGCCAATGCAAAGAAAATCCATGGGGGCCCGCACAGACCAATTCTTGGAGTCGACAAAACCGTGTTTTACCGTTTTCGTGTTGCCGCTGTCATTTTCGCGCTGGTGCTGTGTTTTGTGGTGCCGTTTTCTGGATCCCGTGCGGTTTTTCCGACCCGTTGCTGTTTGTATTTGTTTCGGCGGACAATCTCGTTTTTACCATTTCCAGTATCAAAGTCAAATCTTTCAGAGACGGTAAAGAAACGGCCCTAGAATCCTTAAATGCCCCGCGCTTCCCGATCTGCGGAGGCCCTGGCGGGCATCCTTCTCGCGGCGCGCGGCACTTCCCGATCTGCGGAGGCCCTGGCGGGCATCCTTCTCGCGGCGCGCGGCATGTGAAGAAAAAATAAGGCCTCAAAGAAGAAAGCGGTACAACTACCGCTTTCCTTGCCTCGGATTCGCCTTTATAGGCCTCCTGGGAAGCCTCGTCGCCACGGTTTGACTCGCCTCGAAATTCTGTTCAGAATGCGCCCCGGGAAAGCTCCGTGGAGCAGCGGTAACTGTACCTTTTGGTTCGCCCGAATGCCTCGTGCCCACCACGCATTGTTGTGTTTTGTGTTGCGCGCTCCCCCCCCGCGCACAGGAAGTCGAACTTTGGATTGTCGACGAACCTGTTCAGCAGCGTCTTGTCCTCTTTCGACATGAGGATCTTTCTTATCTTGTGTTTCCTGGGTGGCTTCGGGATGCCCTTTGTCAGCTTGGCGATCTGGGCCGGGCCGAGAGGGCAGGAAGAGGTGAGCTCAGAACCAGCACTGAGAGGTCTGTCAGAAACAACGGCGAGAGTGAGAGAGATTGGGGCGGAAAATACTGAGCGGGCAGGCGTGTGCGCGCTTGCATGCGCACCTTGCGGCCGACGAGGAGGCAAAGGCGATATGAAGGGGGACGCAAAGACGACGAGTACGAGCGAGACGAGCACAAGCAGGGAGAACGGGAGGAACTGTACACTCCGCTCGTTAAAAATAGAAACGGTGAAACTAGGTCTCGGCTAAACTAGATCGGAAGTTTCGGTCCCCGACTTCTGCAATTCCGAAAACTAGATCGGCCCGCTTGCATTTTCATTTCCCATACATTAACACACTCTCGATCCCCTTTCCATTCGGGTGCTCCCACATACGCGTACACCTCGCAATGTGGCGGTCAGCTCGGCTGCGCTGAATTCGATGCGACCAGGCTCCATATACACGGGGTCATTCAAAGGTCGGTCTGCACGGTCAATCCTGCAGGACACTCCGGGTTCCAGGACTATCCACGGTCACCCGGGCTCCCGACGCACCCCCGACGGACCCCGCACTGACCCCGGCCCAGACGGACCCCGCACGGAGCCCAGACTGGCCCCGGACTGACCCCGACCCCGGACTGTCCCCGCGGCCGACTGTCCCCGGACTGACCCGGGACCGACCCCAGACTGACCCTGGACTGACCCCGGACTGACACCGGACTGACCCCAGACTGACCCCGGACCGACCCCGAACTGACCCCGGACTGACCCCGGACTGACCCCGGACTGACCCTGGACCGACCCTGTGACTCATCACTCCTTAAAATAAAGCTCGTGTATGTAAGTATATGCAAGTCTTAAAATAAGGCTCATTGTCGTATATTGTGTGTAAACGCACGCGTGTGTCAGAATTCATTGAAAAACGTTAGCTGCGCGAGGGTTGAGATCAAGTTTTCGGGGGCGCCCGAATACCCAGCAGTGTTTTTACTTTCTCAAGTATTCGGAGACACCGAAAGCGACCGAGGCAGAATTCAGCAGGGAGGCGATGACGCGCAGCAAGGATTTCCTCATTGACATGCGAGGGTTGTCTCCCAACTTGGCGTTCAAGAAATCAGATATCAACAGTGCTCTCAAGAAGATAATCAAGGCAATGACTGACCCTAAGAAGCCAGCGTGGAAGATGTCACAGTGCGAGAAGGATGGCTGGATCGAAACGATGACCAACCGAACGTACAACCTCATATGCCACGCTGGCAAGGCCGTCAGGGACAACAGGACGTGGATCATCGAGCTATTGGGCGACGCGCCAGACCAGGGCGACGACGCCGATGACGAGGACGCCGCCCACGGCGAGGGAGACTACGACGAGGAAGGCGGAGAGGAGGAGACCCCGAAGGTGTCGGACGTCCAGACTCTGCGACGGCAGCTCCGAGCGCGACTGATCGGGACAGCCAGTGGGAGTACTCGTGGTCCAGCGAGCTCATGCTCGGCAACAGGGTCGGCATTGGCCCAAACAACAAGGGCGTCGAAGAGGTGTCGCTCCCCATCCACATCGACGAGGGCACCAATCTAGAGGAGCTGGTCGAGGCAAGATGGAGGGATGGCACGACGCACAGGTTCCGCATCTCAGTGGCGGAGTTCACCATCGGCAAATCTGGCAGCCGCGCTCGCAGTATTGATACGTTGTGGACTGGCGAGCACTCGGCGACGCACAACGTGTTAACGTTGCAGCAGCGCACCGATCGCATGCAGCTCCTTTCGTTGTACGACCAGGGTGCGCAGATCTTGCAGGTACCGCTGTACAAGTTCGGGGAATTGCCGATGCCCCAGCCTGGTCAAGTTCCCAATGATGATCCGACCTTACGGAAACCAGTTGACTTCATGCTGCCGTTCTGCAAGATGTGGGAGTCCGACAAGGTGCAGGACAAGAAGGAGTTGAAGAGGCTGAAGGACGAGGCTGAGAAGGGCCAGCAGCTACCTCAGCAGCGCCCTCCAGCATACAGGAACGTCAAGGGCGCCAAGGACGTGCTGAAACGCCCAGCCGCCGCGCCCGCGGCGCTGAAGCGCCCAGCTGGCGCCGCCGATGCACCACTGGCCTCGGGGGGCGTGTCGGTCGCCGCGGACGGCGGCGGCGCTGTCCAGGAGAAGGTGGATATCGCCGAGCCCGCGGCGAAGAAGGCGAATGCAAAGGCAACCCCCAAGGCTACAGCGGCCAAGTCGGGGTCGATGGCGGTGGCGGCCAGCAGCCCAGTGAAACTGTCAGTGAGTGAGCATGTGACTGGCTCTACAGCGTCGGGCTCGAGAGCCACGGCGGGCGCTCCTGCTGCCGCTCCGAAGCGCTGGGCGCGCGGGGCCCTCAACAAGGGGGCCACGCGTGATTTTTCTTTCCAGCCAATTCCCGACCTCTTGGATGACGATGAGGTTGCCGCACTTGCCATGGCGCCGCCACGCACGGGATTCCTGGACTCAGATTGAACAACCAGCCCCGTGCAGCAAGACAGCACTTGAGCCGAGACAGCATACATCGCCTGCAGTCGCAGGTAGCCGATGCGTCTTGAAACCACTATCGCTAGAGGAGCACGTCACCATCGCCATCGCCATCACCGTCGCCACCATCATCATTATCATCACCACCACTGTAATGATTGAGGCTAGCATCATCGTCGTCACAGCCACCACCACCCCTAGCAAATCCCGTTTCGCCCGTGGCTGTTTCGGGCGAAACGCCGACGCACGATCAGGCGAAGTCATGGGCATCGCCAATGGGGGGGTTTGCAAGGGCACGTCGGGGGGTCGAGTCGATTCCGCGTTGGATCGAAGATGGCTATTGTAGTTTGCAGAGTGATCCAGCTTGAACCGCTCGCACGCACTCACACACGATAAGGTTGAGTGGGTGTGTGGGTGACGAGCCCCCCTTCTTCGCCACATTATTCAATACCTCCTGCTCCTCCTCCCACTACATAGACATTGTGGCTCGACGCCGAGCGCTGCAAGCGCTTGCGTACTGGGCCTCGCAAGTTCCGCCAGCCGTGCTTCGAGAATGGAGATGGTCATCCTGGACAACAAGATCGACGTGACCGACGCCGAGGCAACCTGCGGCGCCCAGGCTTCGGGCAGCGGCCAGGCGAATACGCCGAGTGGTGTGGGCCACGGCGCGTCGGGCGACGCTTGCCCGCACGGATCGCCGCAGTTGGGAGGCAAGTTTGTCGGGAAGGCGTTCGAGGGCGTCAATGCTGACGACATTCGCAGCTACTTGCATAAGATCGACCAGTGCCGAGTGAGCGAGGCCAACACCGATGAGTTCGAGCGGCTCATCTGCAGCGTCATCTCAAGTTCAGCACCGCCGCAGCCGCCAGTGACACCCAGCAAGAGGGAAGCTGATCTGACCAATGCAGTCAATACTGGGTCGACCCCTTCACGGTCTGCGCTCGACTCGGCATTTCGCAAAGACCACCCTGTTGGGGGCCCGCAGCACACAACGAATACACGAAGGGCACTACATCGGAGAAGAGGGCGTTCAAAATTAAGTGGGCCCAGACTCAGCTCGACGAGATCAAGAAGGAGAAGATGCAGTCCGAGACGCTGTCCCAGACCACCCGCTCCAAGCAGGACATGTGCACGTTCGGGGAGCTGGTCGTCGGCTACGGCGGGTGGGAGTGGCCCGCGGCCGTGAAAGGCGCGAAGAGGACGGCGGCCAAGTGCGCCCAACTCGGCGGCAAGTGGCGCTGGCGCGACGAGTGGTCGGAGCTTCTCTTGTATCGCAGGATCAAGCACGAGGACGAGGAGGAGTTCAAGAAGGCGTGGGCAGAGATCACTACCTCGAGCAGCCAGGGCAGCATGAGTGAGTCGTCGGCGGCGCACTCGGCCGCGCAGGTCGCTGTCGAGATGCCCGCAGGCGCCGCGCCGCCCAACGTCGATGCACCCTCCGCCGCGCAGCCGAGTGACGTTGGCGCGGCGGCGGCAAGCGGGGCGGCGGCCAGGAAGAGGAGCGGCGGCAACCCCGACGAGAAGGAGCCGAAGACCAAGACCGCCAAGACGGAGACGACGCTGTCCGCGGCCTCCAAGCTCAAGCCGCTGTACCTGAAAGCGGTGCAGGGCGCCGAGCTCCTGATCAGGCAGATCGGCGAGTCAGACGCTTACAAGTGGGCTCGCGGTAGCGAACTGGAGGAGCTCACGCATGCGTTGGAGATCGTCCGCGACGGGAAGACCGAGTGCATCAACGAGTTCCTCGTCACGAAGGACGCGAAGCAGTTCGCCAAGAACTACGACGAGGGGGCCTGCGAGTCTGAGCTGAACAAGTTCAACAGCCAGAAGGATGCCGTCAAGCGGCTCGAGTCGAAGCTGAAGCAGATCTGCGCCATGCACAAAGTCAAGCGCTTGTCCCAGTAGCGAGCGCCAGCCTCGCGCCGAGGCGCTGCCGTTCTTGCTGGCCTCCCTCCTCTACCTCCTCATCATAATACCTTCCCCGTCTCGTATATCCTCATCATCATCCTCCTCACCTCCCCTCATCCTCCTCACCTCCTCCTCGGTATCCCCTCATTTTCCTCACAGCCCTCATTCGCATCTCGTTTCTGCCGTGGGAGTGCAGCTGATGCCAGTGGGCGCACTGCTGAGCAGTGCGATTTGAGATTTCGATACGGTTTCTGCCGTCGGAGCCGGTTTGGGCGAGTTCGGTCAAGATTCGACGCGCATTGACGCAGTTCGGGTCCGACTCGAGCTGGGACTTCACGCCAGACCATGGATTTTGATTTTGCCGTCAGGTTTTCAGAGATGACTTTGAGATGACTTTTGGATGACTTTTGGACAAAGTTGCGCAATGTATCGAGGTTTGGCGAAGTCATCCAGATGACTTTCAGATGACTTTCGGATGACTTTTGATGACTCTGAAAATCGCGAGCTCACCCGGCCCTGCCGGCTCAGAATTTGAGATTTGGCCCCGACGTGGCTCACGACACGGGGGGCGCTGCTCGATTTCTCGCGCGAGAGCA